TACCTAAAAAAAGGCCCATCACCCATTGCAAAAATCCTTAAAATTAATTAAAAAATAAGAATTATATGCTTTTTTAAAATTATTTAAAATAATTAAGTGTCAGTATTTCCAATACCATTGAATTTAGGTATAGGACATTGCAGATCGTTAGAAGGAAGTCTTTTAAAAATATGTTTAAAAAAGTAGTCACTATTCCCAGCCGTGGAAGATCAAATTTATTAAGAAAATAATTTTGCATAAAAAAATATGTAATCTCAATTTCTGTCTAAACTACAAAAAATTCAAATAAGTAGTTTCTATAAAAGTTACCTTTATTTTTGTCCAAGATTCCGTTTAAAATTATAAAATATAAAACTTCTGTATAAACTTTTTTTCGCTAAATCAGTGGTTTCTTAGAGAAGAACATTACAAAATATTTAAATTTTAATAGAATTCAAATCAAAAAGTCTTTCGCAAACATGACTGACTTATTTGCAATATCAACATCTTAATTATGAAAACATTAATAAATTTTTAGAAATTTCTCGAATAAATAGGGGTTGAGCGACATAGACAGTAGTAAAGCTTTTTACGAAATGTGAGCTAATAACTGTGATTAAAGCACTTCTAAAATTTCAAGCATTTTATAGCACATCTGATTATCTAGAACAGAGTTCAATGATGAATGTCTAAATGTTTCATATTTTCCCCATATTTACTATTATTTATACCATCTACATGCAATTGTGATTTTGTTTGGCCTGCTACAGTCTAAAATGCTACACTGAAATGTAGTGAATAAAATATATATCTACTAAACAATTACATTATTTCAGAAGGAGATTTCAGTAAAAATTTAGTATTCGGAGCATATTGTTACTAATATTTTCGATTATTTTTCAATATAAGTTCTTTGTGAACGCTTCCATTGGGCACTAACACGATCAACATTTATTTATTCCTGTTTTGCGATATAAACCTGACAAATTTTAACAAAATACAAATCAGCGTCAGTTCTACTTTCTCATCATAAAAAGCAGTCCATCCTTGTCCTATATTATTAATAATTTATAAATATATAACACATTTGGCAAAAATTACCACCGTCTGACAGATTTGAAACGCTGGTTGTTTTTCATTGGTTCCATTGCTTAAAAGACGTCCTACCGTACCTCAAGATTTATATTATCTTTAGTTTTCCATCTTTTTTTAATTAAGCACAAAAATTTAAGTGGAACTACATATTTTAACAATTTTGAAATGTATACTAAATTGGTTGTCGTCTCTTATTTTGTTTTCGAGAATAACGAAGTAAAACAGCCTTAAAAGTATTCATTCATCAGTTTCCATTAAAAGTATTCAATAACAAATAACATGTCCGGTTTCAATTCTCTTGCAAAATCAATTTTGTTGAATAACAATTCATTTAAATTCATATAAATGATAAATTTGTAAGGTGTTGTCAAATATATTTTTGAAAATTTTCAAAAACTTCATAATTATCTACAAAATAACATGTACACCTTGTGCCAAATTAAATGACCCACTATGCGATGTGGAAACCCATAGGAGATATGAAAAAAAGTTTCCTGGACTCTCCTGAAGATTTGAAATATTATAATTTTGTTGATACAGGGTGTCCCAAAAGTGTCCCCTTCGACATCAACTGGAAACATCCTGTATATATCGACATTTTTGGAATCCTTGGTTAAAATAAAGGTTAATTTCTTAAGAAATTCCAATTCGAATTTTGCATAGCTTAGGCAGAAATTGAGCTGGTTTTTTCATATTTTGATTGCCCCATATAAAATTATGTTGTGACGCTACTGATTCAAGTACTGCAACGAAAATTTAACCACAGACTAAGGAGATGATGCACTGCTCGATCAGTTTGACATATTTTGACTATATTTTTATTCAGATATCGATTATTCTAAGACAAAAAACAAGGTAAGTTTTTAATTTACCTTATATTTAAATTTTACTTGCTTTTTGAGACATTCAAGATGATTTAACAAAACACCCATATAAATACTTGTTGAATTTAAAGCTGTCCACTTTGTTGGCAATATTATGTATTTTTTAAATAGCAAGGACACGATACTACTTCTTTTAACGATGTAATACTTTAGATATACGAATAAACCTATTGCTAACAATGCCCATTAATACGAGGAGATTTTTAGAAAAATCGACTCTATACTACACACTTAAACAGATTTAATAAAACCCTGGTTAGTTAGCCTATAAACTTAAATTACTTATTTTTTTATTTGGTATTTTCAATCAAGCTAAAGCAGACATTTTAGAAGATATGAATTTTTATGCTTGGATTTGGTCCAGCAATTGCGATCTATCTCAAAACATAACCGCCTCCGCAAGTGAGTTTCTCAGTAAATGCCGGAGATGTTTATTTGATTTGATGTTTCTTTGATTTGCAGCGGATTTGTTTCACTTATTTATTTCTTTTTTTCGTGTACCGCCTACGCAGAAATAAATGAAAAGTAGCAAACATGCCGAACGCAACCAAATAAGCTCATCGAAGGACAAGGCAGGTCCTTAAAAGGGGAAATGAACGACTAACAATTCGATGGAAAAAAGATCTGCCTCCGGCTGTAGAGTTTTAGTTTTTATAAGTAGATTCGCATAAAATAAATGTCATTCTGCTTCTCGAGACCATTTCACAAAATTTTTTATATCTTAATTAGTGTATAATTTCAACGTCCGTCACCAAGTGGTACAGAAGTCCATTTTTAAGTTGTTGAGCAACTAAGTAAATGTAGGGAAGATTAGAATAGTGTAATTCGAAGGATATTATTGAAGATTTACGGGTTCGTGTTAATTGGGGTATACGTTGCGCCTCACTTAATAACTAACTTTCTCTCAAACATAGAATCCATATCAAATAACAAAACGAACACCAACATATAATTGTGTGATATTAGAAACAGAATTTTTTATCTTATGATGTCTGGTTCTCTAACGGTCCGTTAGTTCTAGATGATTGTCATGATCCATCGCTAGAGATAAGTGTCAATTTGAGCTACGAAAAAGACAAATACATCAAATTAAATGTCTGCAAAGAAAATTATGCAATAATTAATGATCCCCGTTCCCTGGATACATTATTATCATCCAGTGATGTTGATAGTAACCTCGATTGTTTTTATGAAAAATTGTCAAAAATTGTAGATACACGTATACCAGATAAGAGGAAATATCCTTTATGGTTTCAGAAACACACAGTAGCTTTTATATTGCTTGAGGGGGGCGGAGCTAAATGAGAGGCATAAACACCATCTCGGATGACTGATTCCCATATTGGTGACAGGTAGAGACCTGAGTCGTGGTCAAGATTGCTGGTAGAAGAATTGATTACATCCAAGAATTTTAGTTTGATCTTATCTATCTTTCATGTTCTTTGAGCCTAGTTGATATTTATTGGTCCGGTATTCTTTGCCGCATATGCATGGAATCCTGTAAACTCCTGGCATCAAACCAAAACTATTCGGAGGGCAATCTTAAAGCAATACAATAATGCATTCAAACTTTGGTGGAGCTTCTACAAAAGGAGGGGAATGGATTGTTATTACTTCTCACCTGCTATTCAGTTTAACATTTTAACATTCATTTTAAGCAAGGTGTTTATAATCTAAGGCCAAGTAAAAAAAATTGTGTCCTTGACTATGTAAAAGGCTTACATCCTAGTGACTTGCCGTTAAAGCAATTTAATGTTAAACTAGTTTTGTTACTGGCGCTAACGACTGCGCATAGAGTCCAAACGCTCTCACTTATAGATTTCGTCAACATAAAATCATTTCCCGAACAAATTTAGAGAATAGTGGTGTGGACACTTCTATTTTTATAGTACTCGACATGCTTCAACATCGTCTGCGTTTCGTAAAAGTGTTTCGATTAATATGATTCTAAAAATGGGAGTTGGTTAGAACGCTCTTAATGTTTTGCCTTTTTTATAATAGACCTATTTGTACAGCAGAATGCTTGTGTTTTCTTGGTCAGCCATTTATTTAGGCTTTCATAACCTTCATGACCAAAAGAACTTATCTGGTAATTGAAGTTCGATCGTCATTATATGTTACGCCTTTTCGTAGAAATCACCAATTCCCGCCCAATGTACTGTTCTGAACAGCACTAGAATGCCCTTTGGCAAATTTTTTATAAATGGGCTTTAAAATAGAATGAAGTGGTGGTGGTGGTGGCACCATAACTGTTTTACAGTTATGGTGCCACCTAGCGATTAGAAGAGGGACTACGTATATCGATTTCTACGAAGGGATGTAAGTTACAATTACTATCGAACTTCACTTACCAAGTAAGTTCGTTTGATCATCCAAAAATCTTTTACTTCGAATTTAAATTAATCTTTTTTTTTAATTTTGGTTAGTTTTGTTATTTTTTTTAGTTCATTCAATTTTCTAACTATTTTAAAATACGCCAAGATTTTTAATTAATTAACATTCATTGAATACATTTTTAACTTTTTAAATAGTTGTTTTACTGGAACATTCCTTTGAAGCTCCCTAATAATTTCTTAGTCAAAACGTCAGAGTAAGTGGCGCCCTCACGGAGCTTGTACAGAGTAGCTATCATTTTATGCGACAACCACTAAACCTATAGAAACGTATTATTCAAAAACAATCATAAAGTATCGGAAAATGCAATACTATACAAGGTGTCACATTTAAAATTTCAATGGCACTTCTTTAAGAAGCGGCAACCTCGCATCCTTAAAAATAATTTAGATCGATAGCGCATCGCCGCTTATGGAACTCACCAAATTTTCAGAACAATCCAATGCACCGTTCGCCATGAAACACCCCGTACAACCTATTCTCTTTTTCTTTTGCGAGTGTCCAACAAAGCGGTGGCGTTTTTGAAACACCCTGTATAGTATATAGTATGTAGTGTATAGTATATAGAATAGAGCTAACAAATAAATAATGAATACATTGGACTCCCAAAACGTTAAGTCTTGGTTATGTAATTAGAGATTAGATTACCTGAACTTTGTTGACTCGACGATTTGTGCATGCCCGTGCCATATTCGGACTTGGGCGCCAAATCCAGTTCTGTCAGAATGTCGTTTTCAGATGAAGACATTACTTTCATTTTACTCCTCTCTTCGGGTGGAAGGGTTTTGTTTCGTTTTGACGGACCTAGAAAAACTGATTGTGATTGATTTAAATTTTGATTGTGCGTTGAAAATGGAGTCGCTTATTGCTATTAGATATCGTGATGGATAAATAAATAATTTGATAGAAGTAATTACGGCTTTCGTGATCCTGCTGACTTTTTATGAAATCAAACGAACAGAAATGTCGTACATAGCTCTCTTGGATTTCTAGATACAGGGCGATTTTGCAAATTCTGCATTTTTAGCTATCATTTCTAGCTCAGTTATATGGGGTGTTTTTTTTCGATGTATAGAACTTTAAGTTGCAATAAAACAACGATGGATTATTCGATTGACATGAATTTTATTATTCCGAAAGATAATCTTTTGGCAGTACATTTTAAATATGATCTGGCATATGACCGCCACGGCTGGCGCGGATGTAGTCCAATCTGGACGTCCAATTTTCGATGACTTTTTCCAACATTTGTGGCTGTATATCGGCAATAACACGGCGAATGTTGTCTTCCAAATGGTCAAGGGTTTGTGGCTTATCCGCATAGACCAATGACTTTACATAGCCCCACAGAAAGTAGTCTAGCGGTGTTAAATCAGAAGATCTTGGAGGCCAATTCACAGGTCCAAAACGTGAAATTAGGCGGTCACCAAACGTGTCTTTCAATAAAGCGGTTGTGGTACGAGCTGTGTGACATGTTGCGTCGTCTTGTTGAAACCACATCTCCTGGACATCATGGTTATTTAATTCAGGAATGAAAGAGTTAGTAATCATAGCTCTATACCGATCATCATTGACTGTAACGTTCTGATCATCATCGTTTTTTGAAGAAGTACAGACCAATGATCCCACCAGCCCATAAAGCGCACCAAACAGTCAGTTTTTCTGGATGTAACGGTGTTTCGACATACACATGAGGATTAGCTTCGCTCTAAATGCGGCAGTTTTGTTTGTTGACGTAGCCATTCAACCAGAAGTGCGCTTCCTCGCTAAACAAAATTCGCTTATGAAAATCGGGAACAACGGCAATCTCGTTTTGGGCCCATTCGACGAATCTACAATTTACTTGATGAATTCATGATAAATTGCCAAACCCAACTGAGAATAAGTCACTTGACAGCTGTTAAATCGGTCGCCATCTTGAACAGTAATGCCAACTTAAATTTATATACATCGAAAAAAAAAACACCCATTACTTGAACTTAACGCAAGGGTGAAATCTGGTCTGAATACGTTCTTTTTCTATTGGTGTAGTCAATTTTCTCTCTCAAACTCACAAATTTAATGTACATACTTGTTTTTATATGATACACCCTGTATGTCTATCCATAATTGAGGCTTAGTATGAGCTTTTCAGAAATATGTAAATATGTATAAACTACAAAAGTACAAATATATCTTCAATTTTAATTCTTATGTTAATTGTTATTTTAATTTCTCTATGTCCTTCCTTCGGACATGACATTGGTTATGACTGAAGATAATGGAAATAACGTGTTCTTGAAATCTCCACCACGATTTTGGAAAAATCGTTTATTTATATTGTATGTCTGGTTAGGTTTCTGCGTAATATGCCACTGGAAAATGCGACTTTTTCAGAGATATTTAGGCTAGCTAGAAGAAGCTTCTAGAATAGAAGAATACACAAGAAGGATGATAGTAAAGTTATGAGTTATTTCCCAACTAAAAATAACATTTATCCAGACTTGCAACATGGTTTTGATTTATTTATGGATATGAGTAAAGCGTTTAACCTTGCAGATGAATTTTTCCGGTTTAGGGGGTAAAATTTTAAATACCATCAAATCTCATACTGGGCGCAAAAAAATAACTGAAGTTTATAGATGCAGAAGTCAAGAAATCAATATCACTTCAGGTCCTGCAAGGATCTGTTCTCGGGCCCTTGTTATTCCTGTCATTTATTAATGATCTACATAACACGCTAGGCCTGGAAAATGGACACTAACCTATCTAAATCTGTTACTTTCAACAAAGAGAAAGCGAGTTTACAAAATTCGCAAAGTGAGAAAAATACGCAAGCCCAATTATTTGCTTGTGTATTTTATTGCAGACATTGTTTTTTTTTGAGAGTAGTTAAAAACATTTTACAACTTTTTGATACAAAGTAACTTTGGGCCAAAATTGGGGTAAACTCGTTAGAAACTTAACTCTTTTGGTATACGTGAGTAAGATTGAGTGATCTTCACTCAAAACAAAGGCAACAACTCATACGAACTCGATAATTACAAATAAATAAATAACTAAATCTTTATTCACTACTTTACTACTACTACTACTACTTTTGTTTTCGATTTCATATTTTTGTTTTAATCTGATTATTGTATCTTTATGCAATGGTTTGTATTTTTTGCTTTGTGACAATTTTAATTTGACTGTTTTTAATGTTGAAAATTCACTTTCATGGATTGATAGCAGGTTTTTTCTTCTCATTTTAAACAGAGTCCAGTCAAAATCGGCTTCTCCGACTCATATCGCATGGAGAAATATGAGAAGAAAAATGTTCTTGTGTGCCTTGTTTTGTAAAGTGAATTGTGTCTGTGTTGGACTCAGCCTCGAGTAATGTTTGTTAAAATTCTGAAAACTAACTTCCATATGTCGTGGATGAAGAGGTAGCGGGAGTTCACTTGGGATAACAACAATTTGTTTTGTACAGCTGTTCGAAAATTGTAAGTATAAACCATATTGTTTTATTTATTAATTTTTTCAGTGTATAGTTAAAAGTATAATAGAAAATTTCGGTAAACTTTTTAACTCACTCGTTTATTAAACACTCGCTCCGCTCGTGTCAAATAAACTCGTGAGTCAGATGCCGTTTACCGCACTTGTTGCATAATATACCATTACCGAACGTGTTGCATACTATACTTTTTCAAACGACCGTTAGTTTTTGGGTACATTTTCGCAAAACAACAAGAATACATTCACTAAAATGACAGTCATAATTGACCAACGTCAAAAGTCAAAGAGTGGGAAATATCTCCGAAAACATTCGATTGCTCCCAAAACCAGTGCTGTAAAATCCCGGAAATGGATCCGTGGAAAACGAAACTGACATGGTAAAGTGACGCTTCCCGCAAGCTATATCGGTGTGTAATTAGGTATTTTACAGACAGGAGTAGAAAAAATAACATTAACGTTAATAATTCATATAATAAAAATGTTTATTCGGATTTTTTGTTCGTTTCGAAAATTTTATACATTAACTTGGAGTTTTTCCCTTGTATTTTTATCGCTCCATAATGATAAGATTTAAAAAATACAGCTGTTGTAAGTCATTACTTACTTTGGTTCACGCGGACTCATCGTTTTTTTTTACGGTCGAAATCCGAAATCAAAAATTTATAAACGATTCCTGCAAAAAAACAACGGACATTTTGTTCCGATCGTAAGGACTTCGTTGGAACTTGGTTGTTCCGAAACTCCCCAAGTGAGTGCCTGTTCATTTAATATTAAAGACAAAGGTATCAATCCCTGTATTAATGGATTCGTGAGAAATGCTTTTTTGGGCACGCTGAATTAAATATTTGCCATTTGCCTTGACACGTATGTCAAATTATCGGAATAGTTACGCTAACCATATTCGTAAATTATACAGGATGCGGGTGGTTGAGGTAGAACTTCCACTCCGTACGTTGTAACGACATGAATCATTTTTTATCAAGTGTACTAGTATTCTTCATCGAGTTGGGCACTAAATAAAGTGTAGAACAATTATATAACAATTATACCAAACGATCATGGTGATATTACATCACAACTATTCAAAGATTCGTGTAAGAACAAATTAATTATCAAATTTACCACTAAAAAGGTTTCTTTCTCGCAAACTTGATGTACTTTCTGTCCCTGTTGAAATAAATTTATCATTCTATGTGAAATTAAAGAAAATATTAGATATTTGAGTTGGCTCTTCCTAGCGAGACCAAATTTTGTCAAATAAGTTGAGTTAAACTGGTGTTATAGGCATTTCGATCAGTCGGACAACTCCTTTTTCATCCGCAGAACTTTACAAGTGGTAGAAATTTTTCATCAACATTTAATAAAACATTTTCTAACGCGCCCTAGCGGCGGAGATCCAGCCTTACCGAGTTTATTTGCGGATTTAGACACTCAAATTTCGGGGTCTCCATGACAACTTCTGTTTCTTTTTATTGTTAAAAAAAACAAATAGACGAGTATAATAAAAATATAATTTCGAAAATATATAAGTGTATCAGAAGTTAATAAAACAATAATTATTTGTTATCAATAATAGAATCTGCATTTTTTTTTAATAAATACAAGTAAATGATCTTTCACATTAGAGATATTTAGCGTTATATCACAAAATGCACTTAAACACAACCTTCCAAAGACATGGAGTCCGATAGCAACTCTACAGTTGCTGCTGTTGTCCTCCCCTATATTCAAAATATCACTGACCACAGATCAAAAGTTCTTTGAAATATAACGTCAAGGCCATATTTACTACTTGTCTAAAAATATCTTTACTTGTTCACTTGTAAAGAAGTGTACAGTTTAAAGAGAAGCAAAAAAAGGAAAGTTATATAAATATCTGTCACGGTAATTATTCGTCCATTTTTCATTGTATAATGGATAAACCCTCATGCGACTGAAGATAAAGGATAAGCATGGCTGAACTAGGCGACGAGTTTTAAATAAAATAAGTTGGTTCCGTATATCGAAACCATATGCGTGTTGGACGAAACTTTTAGTGTTCCTCCTAAAAAAGTTCCGAAATTTCACTAACTTCGATTGTAAAAGGTCCCTACGGCTCTGGCACTTTAACTGGGAAGTTGTCGGTCCCCTTTTGTTAGGTATTTATCTCTGCATATTCATACGATGGCACGAAGGCGGACGCTCTGCGAAATACGTCTAACCGAGATAACTTTTGCAACTTTGGCGAAAACGACATTACGTATAATTTAAAATGCTAACTACTTCCGACAGAGGGTAACACGGTGGTTTTATGGCCAATTTTTGGGCGAAAGTGATAACAATTCAGCAAAAAGTTT